CCTGTCTGGAACACCATACCGACATATAAGGTTTTGCTTGATGAAGCGGGCAACCACATTTTTAGTGACAGAGGCGAAAGAAGCTGCTTCGACCCATTTGGTGAAGTAGTCAATGGCAACCAGGATGAAGCGATGTCCGTTGGAAGCCGTGGGCTTGATCTCTCCAATCATGTCAATGCCCCACATTGCGAATGGCCAAGGAGCTGTCAGCATGTTGAGAGGAACCGGAGGAATATGAATCTTATCAGCGTAGACTTGACACTTGTGGCAAGTACGGGAGTGCTGATGGCAATCTGCTTCCATGGTAGACCAGTAATAGCCTGCCCTTAGGATCTTTTTAGCCATAGTATGCCCGCTCAAATGGGTGCCAAATGTACTGTTGTGCATCTCTGTCATGATTAACTCCGCTTCAGCTTTGTCAACACATCGGAGTAAAACACAATCATGGTTGCGTTTATAGAGGATGTCGTTGCTCAGGAAGAACTTGGCAGCAAATTTCCTTAGGAACTTCTTGTCATTCACGAAAGCTCCTTCGGGATATTCTCTAGTCTGGAGATACCTTTTGATTTCGTGAAACCAGGGTTGTTCCACTACTTCTCTAGTATTAATCTCGTGACAATGCACGGGTTCATCCATTCGCTCGATGGTGATTTGGGGAGCCTCGTTATCCCAGTTGAGTTTAAACATAGAAGACATCGTTGCCAGAGCATCTGCTAGCTGATTCTCTTCTCGCGGGAAATGCTCGAAGGTAATTTGCTCGAAATGAGGCAACAATGTTAGGACATGTTCTTTGTATGGGATAAGATTAGGATGTTTGGTATCCCACTCTCCTTTGATTTGACTGATAACCAAAGCCGAGTCCCCAAATACGATCAAAGATTTGATCCCCAAGTCTATAGCAGCCTTGAGACCAAAGATGCAAGCTTCATATTCCGCCATGTTGTTTGTGCAGCTGAAGTAGAGTCGAGCCGTGAAAGGAGTGTGACAACCTTCCGGGGAAATGAGTACCGCACCGATACCGTTTCCAAGTGCATTTGAAGCACCATCAAAGTACAGGGTCCATCGGGATCCCTTTTCGGGTCCTTCATACGGTCCGTTACCTTCAATGTTGTCCAAATTCATTAATGGATACCGATTCTTAATGGTTACTTTGTTCAATTGCTTGTAATTAACACACAGTCTCATAGAACCTTCTTTCTTCTTGACCAACAATACCGGAGCACCCCAAGGCGAAACACTTGGACGAATAAACTTCTTCTCCAGTAAATCTTCCAACTGACTCTTCAATTCAGCCAACTCAGACGCAGACATACGATATGGCGCCATCGACACCGGTCTCGTACCAGGAATCAAATCTATAGAAAATTCCACTTCTCTCTCAGGAGGTAACTCACCAACATCATCAGGAAAGACTTCTGGAAAATCACACACCACTGGCAATTCGCCACTCCTGACTTTTCCTGTTGCATCTAACGAAGCAAGTAACATAAACACCTTAGCACCGTCTTCCATTGCTTCTTGTACCTGCCTAGCAGTCATAGTCAAATTCTCGACACCAACTGCTTCTGGAAAAATCACCGTCTTAGCAAAGCAGTTCAGATGAACCCGGTTGAATTCCAACCAGTTCATCCCAAGGATAATATCAATTTGTTCAAGCGGTAGGCACACTAAATCTATACCGAAACCTCTACCAAAAATCTCAATAGGACAATTCCTACATACAAGTGAAGTTGTCACTGAACCCGATGCAGGAGTATCAACAACCGTGCTACCTCGCATACCAGATATGTCCAGTTTCAACCTCTCAGCACAATCCAAAGAAATGAAAGAATGGGTTGCACCAGTATCAATAATTGCAGCTAAAGGTGTGCCATGAATAAAACACGTACCTTTAATCAATCGATCCTCTGGAGTAGTCTCAGATCCAGACAAAGCGAACACTTTTCCACCTGACTGATCCTTCCTAGGCTTAGGACACTGCGGACGAATGTGACCTTCTTCGCCACAATTGTAACAAGTAACAAACTTCCCTTTGCAATCAATAGACAAATGCCCAGTCTTTCCACATTTATAGCACTTCTTCTCATCACTCTTGCAATCTCGAATATGATGACCAAACTCACCACACCTGTAGCATCTGATAGGAGCCTTAGAATCTCCCCCACTAGGCCTTTTCCAACCACCTGATTTCTGGTTATCTCTACCATATGGCTTGCCACGGTCCATATGTTGCTTTCCTCTTTTATCAACAGCCCCACGAGAGTGAGACGACCTATTCTTGGTAATATCTTCTTCCAAGATTCTGCTACAATCCACCATATCAGAAAATCTACGAATACGCTGGTACCTGATTCCCTGCTTAATCTCATCTCAGAGACCATTCTCAAATTTGATACATTTAGAGAATTCTCCAGCCTCATCATTGTTGTAGTGTGCATAATACTTTGCCAGCTCAGTGAACTTAGTAGCATACTCACTAACAGTCAGATTGCCCTGCTTAAGCTCCAAAAATTCAATTTCCTTTCTTCCCCGAACATCTTCAGGAAAATACCTCCTCAGAAAAGCCCTTCTGAAGTTAGCCCAAGTCAGTGCCTCTCCATCCTGAACCATTTCAGTCCTTGTTGCAACCCACCAGTCGTCGGCCTCTTCTGCCAACATATGCGTATCATATCTGACGTTCAGATCTTCAGCACAATCAATCACACGGAAAATCCTTTCGATTTCCTTCAGCCACTTCTGAGCACCTTCAGGGTCATGTGTACCTTTAAACAACGGAGGATTGTTCCTTTGGAAGTTCCCCAATTGCCTATCAGCACCAATCACGCCTCCAGTTGGGTTTCCAGCAAGTACACCAGCTAACATCCCCAAAGCCTCAGCTAGTGCAGCATCATTTCGTCCGTTACCTCTTCCGGCCATGTTCCTGAGAATCAAAACATACTCTTCATCAGAATACAGTATCGACAGTGTTACCTTGCACTAGTCGCATACAAAAGGAATGACTGACTCAAGACTCTGGTCGCAACGACCGACTATGCTCTGATACCACTATTGTAACACCCTCTAAAAACCCCGAATAAATTTTCGCGAATAATTAAAATTATAATTTCAGATTACATGTTGTTGTACCCCAATTTTTGACCTAAGATCCCATTTTTATTTTTGCATAAGTCAAGGTCACGAAATACGGTCGATTTTAACGTATCACCTTCGAGCTTTGACTATGCGAAGATTGTCAAGTGTTTTGAACATTTTTAGCATATGTATCACTAATTTCTAATCGCATACAAAGGTGTATGTTCATGTTTTCTTTTGTGTCATGTGCAGAGACAGGTCTGAATCAAGAGCATCAGGTGTCACGCCTCAATTAAGGTTTTGAGTCTCCCAAGCCAAAAGTACGGTTGATTATGGATTCTCGAAGACTGATTCATCAAGGCACATCGTTGCACCCTTAATTTCGCCCCTAATATGTTTTAGTCGCACTTTCATATCATATTTTGTTATTTAGTCACAATCATTAGTAAATATCTTCATTCATCACATTTTGCATCGTTAGTCGTATTTAAGTTGACCAGAAAAAGTCAGTTTAAATCAAAGTTTGCATCGTCTTTTAGTTGTAAAATACCCGACATTTTGCTTCATGCATTTTTATCTATTTACTCATTTGTTGCATTGCTCCAAGTTATTTATATGTCAATGATAAAAATATTTTGGTTTTATAGACCGACTGTTAAAAGCGATTCGACACTATGCGGGAAACTAGCGAGAAAATATTTCAAGTTTTCACCTTTTACCGATCATTTTATGAATCTGCGCTTCGCGTCGATATGACGGTATGCTCGCTTTATTTTTTCGGTACAGTTCAAAGTCTCGTTTTTAACCTTAAACGTCTGTTTAGTCTGATATTTTTATTATTATTTTATTTTTGATTTTTGACTTCTTGAATATATTTTCTTTAATCTTTGTGACATGTAGATTATTTTAATGTGTTCATTTTATTTTTTCGGATAAATTTTCGTCCGTTTTTTATCATTTTCGGTCATTTTGGGTCTTTATTTTTTATTCATAAAATATTCAAAAAAATCATTTTAAATTGAGTTTTTTTATACTTTCAAGTTTTATTTTTATTTTTTTCATTAAAAGGCTTTTAGTCACAAAAATATTTCCCTCCTATTTTTCAATCCACATAATCTTTCCCCCCACAATCAAAAAACTCCCGCCTACATACACCCATCACCATCCCATTATGCAGTACATAGTCTCTGCACATATTCTCAATATGACACACAACCAACATATCTCATAACAAACACAAAAATAAACTCACTTCCCCTCTCTCCAAAAACAAAACAAAAAGCATAGCAATAAAAACCTTTCGCCTCACTCAACCTTCCTCCCAAACTCCCTTTCATCTCTTCAAAAACAGCAACATTAAACACTGTCTCTCTCAAATTCATAGCTGTTCTTTATACACATTTTTAATAATATCTACTTTTCATTTATTTATCATTCTGCAAAAAAGAAAAAGAAAACTCACAGACAAAAACAACAACAATGAAGTCTCTTGCAACAACCTCTTTCTTATGTGCTCTACCCCTTTCCCCAACTTCTCCTTCAATTCCCCCCACCTACTGTACAAACCCATACCATCTCCTCTTCATATTCCCTTCATTTCACCCCAACATCCTCTCACATTCCGCTTCATATTCACACAAAACGTATTCACCAATATTACCTTTCCCTCTCCATGTGAACCGTAACACCATCCTCCTTCCTCTTAACCCATCCCAGTGAGAGCCCCTTCAATCTTCTCAAGCCACAACCACCGTACCACTAGCCACAACCCAGCGCCACACATCACCTCACAAGCTTCTACGACCCATAAATGTCAACCTGCTCCATATTCAGCACCGTTTCACCATCCACCATCGACTTTAACAACACAACATCTCAGCTTCACTTTGCACAATGCAAATGGCGGTTTCAACGGCGGATTATCAAAGATGAACTCCAACAGGAACGATAACAGAGCTGTTTCTGTTAGGGCTGACGGTAAGGGTAAAGGACTTACCTATAAAGACGCTGGTGTTGACATTAATGTCGGTTCTGAACTTGTAAGGAGAATAGCTAAGATGGCGCCTCGGATTGGAGGCTTCGGTGGTTTATTCCCCCTCGGTGATTCGTATCTCGTTGCTGGTACTGATGGTGTGGGGACGAAGTTGATGCTTGCTTTTGAAACTGGCATTCATGATACTATTGGGATTGATCTGGTTGCAATGAGCGTCAATGAAATTGTTACTTCGGGGGCCAAGCCTTTATTTTTCCTTGACTATTTTGCTACCGGCCCTACCGGCCATCTTGATGTGGATGTTGCTGAACAGGTTATAAAAGGAATTGTCAATGGTTGTAAGCAATCTGATTGTGCTCTTCTAGGTGGAGAGACTGCAGAGATGCCTGGTCCATATAAAGAAGGCGAGTATGATCTCAGCGGCTGTGCTGTTGGCACTGTAAAGAAGGAGAATGTAATCAATGGGAAGAACATTGCCGTTGGTGACATTATTATTGGTTTGCCATCTAGTGGAGTTTATTCTAATGGCTTCTAACTTGTAAGAAGAGTGCTTGCTCAAAGTGGGCTTCAATTGAAAGATAAACTTCCTGGCGGTGACATCACAATTGCTGAAGCTTTGATGTCTCCAACTACTATCTATGTCAAACAGGTGCGTGACATAATCAGCTTGGAAAGGAATTTCTTCTGGAAAGGTTCATCCTTTTTCATAGATGTGTCTTTATGTATCTATATGTGGCAAATATTGCACTCAATCTAATATTTCTCTTTATTTTGTTTAATATATCTATGGATTTGTTTTGTTGAAAAAAAAAACAAAAATAACTAACAGTAAACCAATTGCTTAGAATTTTAATCTTTAATTTAGAATTAATTTAGTTTTGATTTAAGTTAGTAATTTTATTATTAATATAGTTTAGATTAAATTAATAATTTTGTAATGAATTTAGTTTATACTTGAACTAGTTTAGATGTAATTTAGCAACTTTAGAATTAATTTAGTTTAGACCTAATTCAGTAATATTAGAGTGTTAATTTATTTTAGATTTAATTTAATAACTTTCGAATTTCAGTTAGTAACTTTAGAATTTTAATTTAGTTTTAGTTAATAACTTCAAAATTTTATTTAACTTAGTTAGACACTTTAGAATTTAAGTTTAGTTTACTTAGTAACCTTAGAATTTCAAATTAGTCTAGATAATTTTTTAATTACACTTTTCTTTTATTCATGATTCTTCTTTGTCCATTCATTTAGTTTCTTACAATTTATCTTGTTATCTACCTTGTTCGTTTCTCGTGGATTTTAACTATTTATGATTTCTTACTCGAATATTAGATCTACCCACTTATGATTAACTCCAAGGGAAATGTTTCAACTCAGCTGACTTCATGTCATCGAATACGTCTTCTACAATCGTGCGAATAGCCTCATTCATTTTTTGCTTGTTTACTATTTTTCTAAACTTAAGATAAATTTCCCAAAAGACCCCATTTTCAAACTCACACCTTTTAAGTCAAAACTTCGACACTAGGTCGTCGCATCTTCAAAATCTCTCCAACACCGATTTTTAGCCAAACGAACCATTTTAATCAAACAAACAATTTTAACCAAAAACAGATATTTCAAAAGGTTCCTGCGGAGTACCGCAGATACATTGGGTGCTAATACCTTCCCATTGTATAACCAACTCCCGAACTCTCGATCTTTTTCAAAAACGCATTGTATTTTTATTACTTTTAAGTATTATTTTACATTGCATATTTTAGGGTTTTATTTCGCTCTTTTCCCTTTTCCCTTGGAAATAATAAAGCGCGGTGGCGACTCTTGCTTTTGCGAGTCAAGTTAATTAATAGCTTGATCTCCGATTTTCACCGCTACACATGTATCAGCGAGGATGTCACAATTCTCTTTTAATAAAAACAAGTTCCTGTCATGCATAATCATAGTAGTAACTCATACATGTTTACACAGCGGAATAATTTAATTAATAAAACCAATGTTATAATATTTTTCAAAATCATCAGGGATTAACACCTGGAAAAATGTCAACATCATATTATAACAAATATAAGGAAATAAACGAGTCTGACTAAGCAGCTCGACAAACAAACGTTCCTGGAGTTACAACTATCAGAGCATGACCCGGACAATACTAAAACAGAATTAAACTAAAAACGACAAGCCTTCGCCAAGCACCTGAACGAAGCTCCTCAATCTGAAATATTCAACAGTAAGGGTGAGCATCTCAACTATACATTTGATTATACGTTCATAACAATCAATTCAGGAAACCATAAGCATCACCCAACAATTAGCATGTTTTATAGATTACAAAAACCTTTACAATTCATATATTCATAATATCATACTTTTCATGCTTACTATTAACATCAAACATCGTTAACAATTTAGTATCAATACATGCATACAATCAATCAAATACAACATTGGAAAAATCATCCATTCATGTCATATTCAATGTAATGCAACACACCCATGCATGTGGTACCATTTTACCGCCCCATTAAATCTCGGGTCACGGATAACTCACCGTCCCATTATATCGCGGACACGGCTACCACCTCAACGTTCCATTAAATCGCGGACACGTATATTGGCCACCATGTTAATTCCACACAATGGGAATTAACAAATGCAACATGATATGTAAAGTATGTAACACTCAGCATACTATTAACATCAATCAACATATCATGCAACATCAACAACATCAACCATAACAGGATATGGATAGCATGTAATCACTCAGCATACTATTAAACATCAATCATATCAAGTTATATCATAATTCATGCTTGATACATCATCTAAAAGCATGAAAATAAATTCCATATAGTGTTGGTATCATAACATACAATCGTCATTCGATACAAGCATCAATCAACACTAGGAAATCAATAAACAACATATTCAAAACATGTCAAACACTGCACATCAAAACAGGATCAATCCGTACATAACAGCATGCACAGAAAACATAGTTTAAAAACCAACACAGGAGGTTTAACACGGGTGCCCGTGTAAAACAACACTGCCCGTGTGGAAATGTGTCCAGAAAACACGTTTTTTTTGACAATACAGGGGATCAACACGGGCGCCCGTGTGAATCAACACGGCCCGTGTTGAATTGTGCCCAGAAAACACATATTTATGCCAACACAGTGGATCAACACGGGTGCCCGTGTTAATCAACACGGCCGTGTTGAATTGTGGCCAGAAAACACATTTTTATCAGCATTACAGTGAATCAACACGGGTGCCCGTGTAAATCAACGCGCCCGTGTTGATGAGTGCGAACCCAAATTTTCTGTTCTTGCAGCAGCTCATATACCCATATTTTTGCACGAAAATACCCCTCTACGGCAGTGCAATGCAGTACAAGGACATCCAATCCACCATAGGAACCTAAAATCCCTAATTGATTTATAAAATTTGGGAACCTAAACCTTTTCTAACAAGATTTGACCCTAAAGTTATCAATCCCTAAGAACATCATAGAAAATGGGGTTATCCTACGATTACCCAACCAATTGCATCTAAACCCATAAGCAAATATAAATTGAGTAGTAGCCCCCCTTACCTTATCAAATTGCAGCTTGAGTTCTTGAGCGATGTTCTTCGTTCTTCTCACCTTCAGAGCTCTATTTCCCCAAATTTCCCAAACTCTGTGTTATCGTGAATAATGAGAAAAATAACTTGAGTTCCAAAACATATCCCTATTTCTTTTGCACCCCCACTCTTTTCTAACAACATCCAAGCCCAATAACTTAAAAACCCAATATTTCTTATTTCTTTTATTTTCTTCAAATATTCCAAAATAAATAATTTCTTTTTATTTTATTAATTCTAATAAAATAATTTCCCAATTAAATAAATCAAATAATTGAAACTGGGGTGTTACATCTACTGGGGAAGCTCAGAATATGATAGACTTATGTTGGAGAGGTATGACTGAGAATTTTCGGTTTGGTGGTCGGTATCTCTGTGGGGAGAAATTTCACTAGCCTGGTTCAGCTGGGGATTGATGGCAGGAAATCTTAGCTCCGCTGGGGGATTGGATTTTCAGATTTTTAAGGCTCCACTGGGGATTCTGAAACTTAACTCTGAGGGGAATCGAGTTCTGGAAGGCCCTCTGGCTGGGGAATTTGGAGTATAACTCTGCTGAGGATTCCTTCTGAAAGGTCATCAAGATATCTATTTGTACCTTTAACCTATCAGTAATCATCTTTCTTGATTCATAGGGAAATGATTATGTTCAAATGCATATGCTTATTTAACAAAACATTGGACGTTTCTCAGATAAAACATAAGTGCAAAAGAAAAGAGAAAAGGAAGACAACACAAATTTCTGTATTTGGAAAAGTATTTGTATTAACTTTCTATAAGTGTATTTGTACAGAGGAGACAGTCATCCTAGTAAGAGGATGTCGTCGTAAAAATTGAAAAATTTATACAAAAGAAAGATGGCTATGTGAAACAATTCCATGGGATTCTATTCTGCTATAGCCTCCACAACTCTGAATATCTGTCCATTCAATGTTTCGTCTGTCGATGACTGGATTGATTAGAAGCTTGGAGCTGCTTGATGAAGAGATTGTCCTTAAAGTGATCCGACGTGACATAGTCATACGCTTTAATTCCCTAACTTTTGCCTGAATCGCCCTTTCGGGTTTTCGATCCACCGGGAAACCCCTTTTTGCCCAAGCTGCCCTTTCGGGTTTTCGACTTGCCGGGTGTACAGATTTTTTTTGTTTTATCCCTAATTTTTGCCTGAACCGCCCTTTCGGGTTTTCGGTCCACCGGGATGCCCATTTTGCCCAAGCCGCCCTTTCGGGTTTTTGACTTGCCGGGTGATTTTATGCATAGTATCTTTTGACTATGTCGGCGTTCGCAGGGTGCGGCAAATCGTCGCCGTCCATGGTGGTCAGAATCATTGCACCACCAGAAAACATGCTCTTGATCACAAATGGTCCTTCGTATGTAGGAGTCCATTTGCCCCTGGGATCACTTTGCGGCAGGATAATCCGCTTGATTACGAGATCCCCGACTTGATATACTTGACGTCTGACTTTCTTGTTGAAAGTCTTGATCATCCGCTTTTGATACGTCTGACCGTGGCACACAGCAGCGAGTCGCTTCTCGTCGATCAAATTGAGCTGATCAAGTCGGGTCTGAATCTAATCATCTTCACTCAAACCAGAGTCCTTCATAATCCTTAAAGAAGGAATCTGAACTTCCATGGGCAGGACAGCTTCCATGCCATATACCAAAGAAAATGGGGTTGCCCCGGTTGAAGTACGTGCCGTTGTACGGTATCCATGCAGAGCAAACGGTAACATCTCATGCCAGTCCTTGTAAGTGACTGTCATTTTCTGAATGATCTTCTTAATGTTTTTGTTCGCAGCTTCAACAGCACCGTTCATCTTCGGCCGATAGGGAGATGAATTGTGATGATAAATCTTGAACTGTTAGCATAATGCGGTGATCATAGTATTATTCAGATTTGTACCGTTGTC